CATCATCAAAGGCCATATATGTAACAAGCCCACAGCCAATATCACTCTCAATGGTGAAAATCTGAAAGCATTTCCATTAAGATCCGGAACAAGACAAGGATGTCCACTCTCACCACAGCTTTTCAATATAATACTGGAAGTCCTGGCCAGAGCAATAAGACAAGAGAAAGACATACATGGAATCCAAACAGGTAAGGAAGAAGGCAAACTATCACTACTCTCAGATGATATGATAATATACATAGAGAACCCCAAAAACTCCACAGAAATCTAATTAAACTAATCAAACCGTTTAGTAATGTGGCAGGATACGAAATCAACACAAAAAAATCAGTAGCCTTCCTATACACAAACAATAAATCTGAAGAAGAAACCAAAAAAATCATCCATTTTATTATTGAAACACAAAAAATCAAATACATGGGAATAAACCTAAGAAAAGAGGTAAAGGACCTATACAAAGAAAACTATAAAACACTATTAAAAGAAATAAAAGAAGACACAAAGAAATGGAAAGACATCCCTGCTCATGGATTGAAAGAATTAACATTATCAAAATGGCCATCCTGCCAAAAGCAATTTACAGATTCAATGTTATTTCAATTAAAATTTCAAAGATACTCTTCAAAGAAATAGAACAAATATTTATGAAATTCATATGGAGCCACCAAAAACCTCAAATAGCCAAAGCCCTCCTGAAAAAAAAAAGAAGGGAATGGAGGCATCACTTGCCCAGATTTCAAACTATACTACAAAGCCATAATCATCAAAACTACATGGTATTGAGACAAGAACAGACACACGACCCAATGGAACTGAATAGAAAATCCGGAAATAAACCCACAGATTTACAGTCAACTCATCTTTGACAAAGGAGCAAAGAATATGCACTGGAGCAAAGAAAGTTTGTTCAATAAATGGTGCTGGGAAAACTGGGTCACTACATGCAAAAGAATGAAGTTTTACCACTACCTCACATCATGCACAAAAACTAACTCAAAATGGATTAAAGAACTAGACATAAGACCTGAAACCATAAAATATATAGAAGGAAATATAGGTGAAACACTACATGACATACACCTCAGTAGCATCTTTAAAGACTTATCGCCCAAAGCAGTGATAGTGAAGGCAAAGATCAACAGCTGGGACTATCAAATTAAAGAGCTTCTGCACAGCAAAAGAGACAATAACCAAAACAAAGAGAAACCCCACCAACTGGGAGAACATTTTTGTATCCAACACTGCTGATAAAGGACTGATCACAAAAATCTACAAAGAGTTGATGAGACTCAACAAAATCAAAGAAAGTAATGCAGTCAAAAAATGGGCAGAAGTGCTAAAAAGAAACTTCTCCAAAGAGGAGATACAAATGGCCAACAGGCATATGAAAAAAATGTTCAACATCACTTGTAATCAGGGAAATGCAAATCAAAACTACCATGAGATACCATCTCACACCAGTGAGAATGGCACATATTTAAAAAACTAGCAACAACAAATGTTGGTGAGGTTGTGGAGAAAAAGGAACTCTCCTGCACTGCCGGTGGGAGTGAAAACTGGTCCAACCACTGTGGAAAGCTGTGTGGAGATTTCTTGAACTACTAAACATAGAGCTTCCATATGATCCAGCAATTCCACTCCTAGGTATTTACCCAAATGACACAGAAACAGTAATTCTAAAGGGCACCTGCACCCCTATGTTTATAGCAGCACTGTTTACAATAGCTAAGCTTTGGAAACAACCCAAATGCCCAAAAATAGATGACTGGACCAAGAAAATGTGGTATATATACACAATGGAATATTAATCAGCAATCAAAATAGATAAACACATGCAGTTTGCAGCAACATGGATGGAGCTAGAAGGGATCATGCTCAGCAAAATAAGTCAGAAAGAAAAAAATACCAGATGGTCTCACTCATAGCAGGAATTTAGAAAACCCAAATAGGAGACCAGGAAAAAGACTAATCAATACAAAGTAAAAATCAAAATCAACAAGCAACTACAAACCAGAGACCCACTATGGGAGGGGGGGGGGCAGGGGGGTGAGGGAAAGGAAGGACTAGAGTCAAAATAAGGGGGGAGGTGCAATTGTATGGGGAATATAACCAAAATGAAAATGTATACATTGTGCAAAGATGAAAAAAGATGTAAGAATTATATAAAATAAAATAAATAAATAAAGTAAAAAAAGTAAATAAATCTTTAAAAAAAGAATTATGTGAAATAAAACGTTAAAAAAAAGAAACTGAAATAGAAGTTTAATAAATGGACATGTATTTATTTCAGTATGTGTTCTGTATGTACTCTATTTTGTACTCCATGGGATTATTCTTTCATTTATATATTGCTAAATGTATAATAAATTATCAATAAAATTGTATCCGTATCCTTTTTCTATTCGTGTAGGTAAATTTAGATAATGCACATATTTTCAATTAAATAAATGTTAATCATAATTTAGCAATGGTTTGTGACTCCAGTTGAAAAAACAAGAACTTAGAGTAAATCCTTCCACAGTACGAGAAAATCATACCGGATCGCCAATTACTTGTCACCTTCCAAAGAGGCTCCTGCTGTTCTGCCTGCATCTGTTCCACATCCATGTACAGGGTTCGGGTAAGTGTATTCATGTGTTTCTATTGCTTCACTTTGTAGTCTCAGCCCTTTTCCCAACTTTTAAAACTACTTGTGTTCTTTGCTTTCCAGTGAGAGAACTAAGATGCAGGCAATTGTGAACTGTTTACACCAATATTCTTTAGATTGCCAAATTAATGAATATATTTCATTATTTCTGTAACATGCATTTCCTCATAGCACAATTTCTCAATGTTGCTAAGTTATATTAACTAATAGACTCAGCCAGTGACGGTTCCTTCATGGTTGCCAAAATCATAGGGTAGAAATACTTTTATCTTCTTTTTTAATCTTGTTCAAGTTCCTTGGACTGCTCTGATAAAACAGATTAATAGAAGAAAAAAACCAATTTAATTTCTTCCATATGAAGGCCCCATATGTACAGGACCTAGAAAAGTCACCAGAGCATTTAGTTTTATACCTTTTAAGACAAAAAATAATTGAGAGGGAAAGGTTGAAGATTACTGAAAAGCAACAAAGTTTGTTTATACATGATTCTCAAGGCTAAATTTACATGAGTTTTGACCTGACCCTTATAATGTCATTGTAGAAGAAACAAGGGGTGGAAGTTTTGCCCATTTGGTGAGTTAGGATGGAGGCTGTGTGTAAGGCAGTCTCATGTACACCATAGCTCATGTGCACCACCGAGAGTGAATCTGAATTTGCTCTATGAGATCCAAGAGATTATTGTGAGACCTTTCCATAGAAGCCTTGTTTTTCTGGTTCTCCTCTCTGTGGGGAGATAGCATTTTGTTCATTGTTGATGGTTCCTTCCCACTGATTTTCCTTACTTTTTGTCTTTTCATCTCATCTTCTCTTTCCTTTCCTGTGACCTATATCCTTCATATTATTTTTTTATGTTCAAGGTAAAGAAGACCCAATAAATTTTTGACTTTGGGTTTATAGAATAGTGCTGTATATTACAGTATCCACTAGCCACGTATGACTATTGAATACTTATTATGTGGAAGGTATGGCTGAAGAAATAAAATTTAAATTAATTTTAATTTTAATTACTTTACATTCAAAAACTAAAGCCATTAAATACCACTAAACATTTTATTATTTTACAATGACACATTTTGTTATTTTGATAGGACTACATACATTTCACTGTAATCATTGAAAATTTAACATTGTGTTGGGGAAACGTATAAAGCACACATTAGTTTTCAAATGTAATGTTAAGAAAAGAATCTCAATAATTTTTATGCTAACTAAATGTTGAAATATATTGTGGATAGGTAGTCTAAGTGAAATACATTATTAAAGTTAATGTCACTTATTTTTCCTTTTGTAATGTGACTGTTAGACAATCTAATGCCTAGCTCTTTCTAGACTCTCACATTCAGGAAGGAATGCCTATTGAATACAAACAAGTCAGTCTCTGGGTTATATAGGTCATCTTTCATAGCATAAACTCAATGCCAAGAAAGTTGCTTCCACTCCAGAATGAGGGAGAAAATGGCGTGGAGAACAAACCTCATCTGAAGCTGTCAACAGTTCCAGCATTCAACATCACTGAGAATATCAAAGTAAGTTGCTTTCAGTAGATGGAAAACAAGGCATTGGACCAAGGGAGATTGGTGGCTTGGTGGGAAATGAAAGGAGAGAAAACAGGTTGTAGGATACTCTAGTACATGAACATTTTTTTAAAGATTAATTTATTTATGCATACAAGAGCTGGGCTGTAGGCCAGAGGTGTGTGGGGGGAGGTGGAGGGTATAGTGGTGAGAGGATTCATCAGAGATGGAGTGGGGAACAGAACAGGTTGAACTACTGAAATACACTGCTGAGGGAAGCAGCGGGCAAGACAAGAGAGGGCTTCTGCACCATGTGGGTCAGCATCCTGGCCGGTGATCTAACTCATGCTACAGTGGTTGCAGATAGCTTCATAGTGCTGAGACTTAACCCCTTGTACCACCAGCAATGAAGTCAGCTATGTACATTCTTAAGAGGGCAAGTTGGCTGTTGGTTTAAGGCTCTTTGACATGAATATTTCAGATTCCTGAAGGGTGAATATGTTGTAAAAGACAAAGAGAAAACTCATCAGAAGATAGAAACATCTTAAGAAGCTTTGAAATGGATTTTGCACAAATATTCTTCTGAACGCATCAGTTTAAGATACATGGTTTCATGATATCATTTCTGTTATGAAATATTTTCTTCCAGATTCTGATCTTCTTGGAGCTGGATTGAAAGTCCTTCCACTGATGTTGCAGCTGCCCCAGTGAACCTCTATGGTCTTTAATATCTACCTCAACATCCTTTAAAGAGATAAGTGGATAGATGGGGAAAAAGAGTTTTCTCAAGTCCCAAAGTATGAAATTTCAGTGGTTAATTATGTCATTTACATTACTGATTTAATTTTAGATACTTATCGTGTCCACTCTTACTATTTGCATATGATGTGTGTGTGTGTGTGTGTGTGTGTGTATACGACAGAGAGAGAGAGGGAGAGAGAGAGAGAGAATTATGTGCCTATTATGTATCTTGCCCAAGATCAACCACTAGTCAGGATCAGCTGAAGCCACTACAAACAGAACAAATAAATCCAATAAAAAGGCATCTTAGGATGAACTATGAAATATGTAGAATTCATGCTTGCTATCTTACAAGGAATTATTTGCATATGAAATCTCATGGACATGAAATTGCAAATGTGATTTATAAGCAAAGGGGGAAAAAAAACAGTTTAAACCCTAGAGCTCTGCTGGATTTCTGACTGGTTTATAGGCTTAACTTAGCAATTCAAAATGTGACTGTATATGTTTAGAGAATATTAATTCCTCAACAAGTTGTGGCATTCAACATGCTGTTCTTCACTTTTTCAGCCTATATTTTTTCTCATCTAACTTTTTCCAGAAATGTTATTCCTCTTTCTGTCTCACTGTCACCTTTTAGTCTGTCTTGTAAGAATGTAACATTGGCAGCCAAATGGACCTAGAACAGAAAAAAAAAGAGAAGAAAACAGATTTAAGGCGTTCAGATTTTCAAAAAAAATCTGAAAATTCTTCTGTATCTTTTTTAAGTTTGATTTGTCCTAAAAGCAGTGAGTATCCTTATGGAATAATCAGAAAAAACTTGTCTGTGGATGAGGGGCCCTTTACTATGTGTTCTCCAGGGATGCTCTGTTTGGGGGTCAGCGCTTGGTGTGAGTCTGCAGAGAGAAGGGCAGTCAGGTCAGTCCCAACTTGGGGCAAGCACAAAGATGTGGAACCATTTTTGTTCACTTTGCATTCCTCTCAAGAACACAGATTCCCAGTTCAAGGAGAGACTTGACACTGTGTGCCTTGCCAAGCAGAACTTCCAAGGATAGAGGGTTCCTAACAAATGCTGTTCAAAGTAACTTGCTATAGATCTTCCTGTCATTACCTAAATAACATCATCATGCATCTTAACAACATCTAGCAATCACTTAAGGCTTTGAGAGCTTGCAACAAGAATCAACTAAATAAATTATAAATATACAATTAAAGATTGAACTTACAGGCAGGGATATTTGCTATACAGACTTCTCTTCCTTTCTAATGCGGTTCACATTCCCCAGACATTGAAGTGTTCTCAGGGCTTATTCTCTATTCATTAAAATGTGTTCACATGAGAGCAGTGTGATATTGCTAACTGACCCTCCACAGAGTATTGGTTCACCTACTTGGAGGCTTTTAATTAAAAAGATAAATAAGCAAAAGAACCTAAAAAGCAAATAAATGAAATGCCTTGATTTAATAGGCAATCAACTAGTGTTTACTGAATCTTACTTGACACTCTTCTCTCTCACTAAGAATTCCTTCATTAACCAGTCTGGATAAGTGAAATTATAGATCTTTCTATGCCAAATTAACTGACTCACACAAGGTGCAAACATCATGCCTTGGTGATGCCCACCAACAATGAAAAGCATGTAGACTGAGTTTTGAAATACAAAAGCTAAGTTTGTCCTCACTTCCTCCTCTCACCCCAGAAGATCTTGTCTTTCTTAATATTTAACAGAAATCAAATAATAAGGAGGCTACTTTGAAGTTATTTGGGTCCTTGGGGTCTACATGAGGGCCAAATCTTACTTCTCATTCAATGTATTTAATCAGCTGTTATCCATGAAAGCTACATATTTTCTTATCCTATTTTTGACTTGGTTTTATGATTCAGCCCATGAAACCCGTAAGATCCCAGAACTTTCTCCTTTCCCTTTCTTGATTTCGTTACCACTGATTGTAGGGCAAGTCTAAAAAAATATAATAGGTTAAAAGAATGGAAGATCCATGTGAACAATACATTATTTCAATTTTTACTCTTTTGGATTGCCTGTTATATCCTTCCCCTGATTGTCACAAATAATTGAAAAGTAAAACAGATCCCTCATTATTGAGTAGGTCAACTCATCTAGTGTTGGCTACCACCTGGTCCACCATTTTTCATAGTAAAGTTTCTGGAAAAATGAGACTTTACAGACTACTGTCTTTCTTTTGACAGATTGTTTTCTTCTTCCTCCCTCTCTTTTGCCAATACAGTTTTGACGAAGTTCCTTCCAGACCTTTTGGCCTCAAATACTTTGGAATTGTTCCATTAACAACCCTGCAATTTGGAATTGCGGTCCTGAAAGAAACTAAAACTACAACTGAAACTTTCAGACAATGTCTTACTGAAAACAGAGGAAGTAAAAGTAAAGTAAGACGTGTGTTTAAAAAGAAAGAAAGGTACTGAGAATCGATATTTTAAAGGTCCTGAAAGTAAAGTAAAAAGTGTTAATGCAAGTGTTAAAGGTGTGAAAGAGGGAGGAAAATAAATTGTTAGAAAGCTAAAGAATGTGTTAACAGTTAAAAAACAAAAGAAAGAGTTAACAGTCTGAGAGAGGGATCTTAAAAAAATTTTTTTTATGTGTGTAATGCCAGGATGGTCACAGAGCAGGTTATCTATAATGTGGCAGACATGTAAAGGAGGAGTCCTGTAGCCCTCAGTGGGTATCTCAGGCTTTTATTGAGCTGTTACATATAGAGCAGCAACCAGATGTCGGGGAGGCCAGGGACCAGCAGGCCTCCTGGCCCCAGGCATGACTTCACTCTGGGCTTCTCTAGCTGCTCTCCTGCTGCTCTCCTGCTGCTCTCCTGCTGCTCTCCTGCTGCTCTCCTGCTGCTCTCCTGCTGCTCTCCTGCTGCTCTCCTGCTGCTCTTGGTAACTATCTCAATATACTCCTCCCATGGACAAAGAAGTAAACAAGACAGTTTGCAACAATGTAACAACTGCAGGTGCCTTATCAGGCAGTGCAAACCAAATGGTGGGAGGGCAGAAAAGCCTGAAAACCATTTACCCTACCATGTGCTTCAGTGACTTACTACAAACTGGAAAAGGACAAGTTTCTAGCAGTTTACTTCATTACTTCCAGAGATTAGACATGGTCTTGAAGGCCTTCATTGCCAGGGGGGAGACCAGGCAAGCTGAGAGAAAATAAGGGAGAAGGACAAGAGAAGGGCCAAGTATATGGCAGCTGCCATTGCTGGTACCCCGCCAGCTGAGACTCATGCGAGGCCTCTAGTGTCCCAGGCATTTGGGACCTCAACCTATTCATGGGCTGCCCCTGCCTTCACTGCCAGCAACCGGGACACCTCAGCCAGGAGTGTCTGAAGAAGCCACCCCCCAGGCCATGCCCTCAGTGCCATCCCACAGGGCACTGAAAGAAGGGTTGTTCCAGTCTCCAAGAGAGGGGGGTGTCAGCCCAAACCACAGCCCAAAATGGGAGGACAGTTTTGACCATCAGCTGCCTCTGACTGTGAAGAACCAGGTACAGGAGAACAAAATGTTTCCTGAAGAAGCCCGGAGTTGAGATAAGCCTCGGGTGACCCTGAAAGTGGCAGACAAAAAACAATCACCTTCTTGGTGAATAAGGGGCCACTTATTCTGCCTTGCTGCAATTCTTTAGACTGACCTACTGAGGACTAGCCTGAACCAGGACACTTTAACACTTCTAGTGAAATAGAAGAAAACCTAAAGGTATCATAAAATATCTGTATTATAGAGATGGCCTTAAAAGACAGGCAGGACAAGGACCTAGTTGCCTGTATAGAAAACCAGCTTCTGTCCTGGTTGCTCCCCTTTCTCTTCCCTTACTAATTTTCTTTACTATTTCCTTGTTTGGGTCTTGCATCCTCATTGCACTCATCAGAATCATCTCTGGTCTAAAGGCCAGCAGACTTCAAGCGGTCCTTCAGATGGAGCTGAACATCAGGCTTCCACCATCTTTCTTCCGAGGTCCCTTAGATCTTCACCCTGTAGTGGGGCCTTCTCTGACTGCTTCCCCACGTTTCCCATTTTCAGCAGGAAGCAGTTACTGATCGGATCGATGCCCTTTGTCCTAATCCCAATGTACCAGTGCACATCACTACAGTTCCCTGTGCTCCTCCCTCCCTCCTTCTGGTCCCTCCTCCTCCTTCTCCTCTGCAGTATGTCTCTGATTTATAATTTCTGTTTGTGCTTTGTTGTGTTTTGTACTGTTAATATTTTTTATACTTATGTCTTATTTCATTCCTCTATATTCCTGATATAAGTGAAACCATCCGATATTTTTCTTTTTCCTTCTGGCTTATTTCACTGCCGTAATTCCTTCTAGCTCTATCCACGTTGCTGTGAATGGCATGATTTTATCTTTTTTGATTGCTGAATAATACTCCATTGTGTATATGTACCACATCTTCTTGATCCAGTCATTTATTTTTGGGCATTTGGGTAGTTTCCAGGTTTTGTCTATTGTAAATAGTGCTGCAATAAACATAGGTGAACAGGTGTTCTTTTGAATCAATATTTTTCTGTCCTTTGTGTAGATCCCTAGGAGTGGAATTGCCAGGTCATATAGTAGCTCCATTTTTAGTAGACTGAGGAACCTCCAGACAGCTCTCCTTAGTGTTTGGGCCAGTTTGCACTCCCACCAACAATGCAGGAGAGTCCCTCTTTCACCACATCCTCACCAACATATGTTGTTGCTAGTTATTTTGATATGTTCCATTCTCATTGGTGTAAGAAGACCACCACATGTTTATTTATTTATTTATTTATTATTACTTATTTTTTACATTTTTTTGTATATCATTGTTCATTTTTAAACAACATTTGCTCCCCCCACCCCCCAGGTGTAGTCCCCATAGAGTTTCCTTCACCAATGCACCTGTGCACCATCACCTCAGTCCCCTGTGCTCCTCCTTCCTCCCTCTGACCCCTCTTTCCTCCTCTCCTGCAATATGTCTCTTATTTGTAATTGTCCATTTTTGCTTCGTTGTGTTTTGTACTGTTATTTTTTTTACACCGATGTATTATTTGGTTCCCCTATAGTCCTGTTATAAATGAACCATCTCATTTTTTTCTTTTTCCTTCTGGTTTATTTCACTGAGCATGATTCCTTCTAGCTCCATCCATGTTGCTTCAAATGGCATGAGTTTATCTTTTTTGGTTACTGAGTAATATTCCATTGTTTGTATATACCACATCTTCTTGATCCAGTCATCTATTTTTGGGCATTTTTGTTGCTTTCAGGTTTTACCTATTGTAAATAGTGATGCAATAAACATAGGGGTACAGGTGGTCTTTTGGATCATTGAACTGAATTATTTAAAGGAGGGCTTTTTCTTTTTATTGTAACTGTAGACAGCAACAACAGGAAATAACAATTTCTTTGTATTTTAGTAGGTTCTTTGAAAAACTTCATTTCCTTCTTAAAATATGAGCCATCATCTTAGAAATCTAGTAGTGGAAAGCATAATAATGGTAATAATAATGGAGGCTAAAGACATGGGAAAACTTCTTCCATGATTATTGGTAAAAGTGACCCCTGCATTAACATTGCAGAGCATCGTATATAATAAACAAAAAGGACTAGGAAATGCACTGGAGAGAGGGCCTTAAAGAATTATCTAAATCTTTCTAAGATGCAAGTGACTCCTAGGAGAATAATGTAGAAACAGAGACAGTGATATATACATATATATATACACATACACATTTATATATATATATGAGAGAGCATATGGATAAGCCGTCCCTAAGGAGGGGAGAGTTACTTTCTAAAGAATGAGGATATGGAGCACTCAGAGCTGGATCAAGGGCAGGATGGGGTTCCTGGGCAGACAAGGGGTCCATCTAGAAGACAGTGATGTCCTTCCAGTTCAGTTCTCCAGCAGCCATCGTCATTACATTTTTTTAAAGATTTTTTATTTATTTATTTATACAAGAACCGGGGTACAAGACGGATGTGCAGTAGGGTGAGAGGATTCACCAGAGACAGAGTGGAGAACAAAACAGGCAGACTGACAAAATACACTGCTGAGGGGAGCAGCAGGTGTGACAGGAGTGGTCTGCCACACCAGGTGGGACCCTCGCCAGCAGGCCAGGATTGAACCAGCGCTGCAGAGGTTGTGGACAGCTTCACAGTGCCCAGCATAACCGACTGCGCCACCAGGGAGGCCCTTGTCATTACTTCTCTGTGTTTGTAGATGAGAATACATTTCCCTTCTACATAAACTCCCAACATACTGCCAAATATCTGCCCCAACTCCTTCCTCCTTCCATGGGAAAAGAATAAAACTGAATGTCATTCCTTTTACTTGTTTTTACTGTTCTTCCAACTTTATAACCACAGACCCAGGAAACTTTCTTTGAATAAATTGAAATTCTAACAGGAACTAGTTGTTTCCTTTTCCCTAACTCCCTGCTGCTCATAGTCAGGAGCGCTTCTCAGTCTCTTTTAAACAGTGACTTAACTCACCAAAACCCTATTGCTTTTCTAACTTTTCCCCAAAACGGATGCTTTTCAATGAAGCAAGACTGAAATTCTTAAGCCCAAATTGAAGAAAAACCTGCCTGGATACATTGAAAAGCAGTGGTGGTGATTCCTAATTGCCAGAAGATGAATTCCCTGTGATCCTTTTTCAGGGTCTCCCCTAGTCAGCTACCAACCCACTTCCTTTTTTTTCCCACCAACCTTTCTCCTCTGCCTTGTTTCTATGGCCCAATAGTGGGCACAGAGAAGATGTGACAGATCACAGCCACTTTATCCAAAGGAGGCAGGTGTTATCTTTCCATTTTGTTTCCCTCCAGGCATGAATAAACCCACTTGACCTTGCCTTTTCTTATTTTACCGCTTTTTCTCCTCTTTGGTTCGCACTCGATTGTTCTGTATTCTTCAGTTACAATCAGTTTCTCACTATGATTTATTACTTCTGGCAAGACAAAGTGTGCATTCCAGTTTCAGGGAGTTGTCCTTGATATATGTGTAAAGGAGGAAAGAGAAAGAAGAAATTGTGAAAAAACTCTTTCCTGACTAGTTTCTTAGAGCCTCTCCATTAACTCAAGACTTTTTGTGTTAGTATTTTCAACTTTTAAAGCAGCATATGCATGTTTTAAACCGGCCAGCCAGGGAGAAACCCACATGTCACAGCAGACCTCTCTTGTCTTGCCCGCTGCTCCCCTCAGCAATGTCTTCGGTCTGTCTACCTGTTCTGCTCCCCACTCTGTCTCTGGTGAATTCTCTCACCCTCCCACATCTCTAACTGTACCCCAGTTCTTGTATAAATAAATAAATCTTAAAAAAATATCAAATCCAAAGGAAAGACATACAACAGATATCTCCCTGAATTCATTTCCAACCAGGTCTCCCACTTCTCAGAAGTAAATACTTGACAATATTTTTGGATCTCACAGTATGTTACATGCATCTACAAGGGAGGTATACACATACACACACATGCATACATATTTTCTCCTTCATTCACTCATTCATGGATTGATTTACTCATTATTGCCACAAATATTTACTGAACACCTGGGCACTAGGCTATAATGCCCATATATATCATATATATTTTTTAACCTGTCTTTCTCTAAGTTTACTTGTTAATTTTGTTATCTAAAATTGTGTCTTACACATGGTAGATACTTAAAAGACATATGAATCTTTTTTTATTGGATAATATCATTTTTCTTTTCTTCTTTTATCCAGAATGTGTTTTATTTATTTATTTATTTTAATATTTTATTTTATATAATTCTTACATCATTTTTCATTTTTGCACAATGTATGCATTTTCATTTTGGTTATATTCTCCATATAATTGCACCCCCCCCATTTTGACCCTAATCCTTCCTTCCCCTTCCACTGCCGTAGTGTGTGTGTCTCTGGCTGATAGTTGCTTGTTGATTTTGATTTTTATTGGTATTAATTAGTCTTTTTCCTGGTCCCTTATTTAGGTTTTCTAAATTCCTGCTAGGGGTGAGACCATCCGGTATTTTTCTTTTTCTTTCTGACATTTCGCTGAGCATGATCCCTTCTAGCTCCATCCATGTTGCTGCAAACTGCATGTGTTTATCTTTTTTGATTGCTGAGTAATAGTCCATGGTGTAAATGTACCACATCTTCTTGATCCAGTCATCTATTTTTGGGCATTTGGGTTGTTTCCAAAGCTTAGCTATTGTAAACAGTGCTGCTATAAACATAGGGGTGCATGTGCTCTTTGGAATTATTGTTTCTGTGTCATTTGGGTAAATACCTAGCAGTGGAATTGCTGGATCATATGAAAGCTCTATCTTTAGTAGGTTGAGGAATCTCCACACAGCTTTCCACAGTGGTTGGACCAGTTTGCACTCTCACCAGCAATGCAGGAGAATTCCTTTTACTCCACATCCTCGCCAACATTTGTTGTTGCTAGTTTTGTTAATATGTGGCATTCTCACTGGTGTGAGAGGGTATATCTCACTGGTGTGAGAGGGTATATCATTGTAGTTTTGAATTGTATTTCCCTGATTGCAAGAGATGTTGAACATTTTTTCATATGCCCGTTGGTCATTTGCATTTCCTCTTTGGAGAAGTTTCTTTTTAGCTCTTCTGCCCATTTTTTGATTGGATTATTTTCTTTGTTTTTGTTGAGTCTCATCAGCTCTTTGTAGATTTTTGTTATCAGTCCTTTATCATTAGTGTTGTGTGCAAAAATGTTCTCCCAGTTGGTGGGGTTTCTCTTAGTTTTGGTTATTGTCTCTTTTGCTGTGCAGAAGCTCTTTAATTTGATGTAGTCCCAGCTGTTGATCTTTGCCTTCACTATCACTGCTTTGGGCGATAAGTCTTTAAAGATGCTACTGAGGTGTATGTCATGTAGTGTTTCGCCTATATTTCCTTCTATATATTTTATGGTTTCAGGTCTTAAGTCTAGTTCTATAATCCATTTTGAGTTGTTTTTTTTTTTTTGTGCGTGTTATAATGTAGTAATCAATCTTCATTCTTTTGCATGTAGTGACCCAGTTTTCACAGCATCATTTATTGAACAAACTTTCTTTGCTCCAGTACATAATCTTTGCTCCTTTGTCAAAGATTAGTTGACTGTAAATCTGTGGGTTTATTTCTGGATTTTCTATTCAGTTCTGTTGGTCGGTGTGTCTGTTCTTGTTCCAATACTATGCAGTTTTGATGATTATGGCTTTGTAGTATAGTTTGAAATCTGGGCGAGTGATGCCTCCATTCCCTTCTTTTTTTTTTTCAGGAGAGCTTTGTCTATGGGGTTTTTGATGATTCCATATGAATTTCATTAATAATTATTCTATTTCTTTGAAGAATGTCATTGAAATTTTTATTGGAATAGCATTGAATCTATAAATTGCTTTTGGTAGGATGGCCATTTTAATAATGTTAATTTTTCCAATCCATGAGCAGGAGATGTCTTTCCATTTCTTTGTGTCTTCTTCTATTTCTTTTAACAGTGTTTTATAGTTTTCTTTGTATAGGTCCTTTACCTCTTTTGTTAGGTTTATTCCCAAGTATAGATTTTTTTGTTTCAATAATAAAAGTGATGGTTTTCTTGATTTCTTCCTCAGATTTATTGTTTGTATATAGGAAAGCTACTGATTTTTGCATTTGTTTGTATCCTGCCACTTCACTAAACTGATTGATTAGTTTAATTAGTTTTTCTGTGGAGTTTTTGGGGTTCTCTATGTATATTATCATATCATCTGTGAATAGTGATAGTTTTACTTCTTCCTTCCCTACTTGGATACATTGTATGAAAAACATATGAATCTTAATTTCATTTTTCTCTCATGGGTAGGTGTTGGGGCTAGAATAGATATTTTGCTGGAATCTAGAAATAGTATTCCAAGCAGGGTCTTACCATTGATTTGAATTCTCATAAGGTTTATAAACAATATTAGAGAACTCAATATATCATTTGAAGATGACCATGAGAACTTTCAGTTTCATACTGAGTGAATATGTATTTCCTTCAAGAATTTTTCTTGGTTTTGCTTTTGTGTTTTTCAGGAAATGTTTGTGGTTTCTGAGACCCATATGTGAAGCTGATAATGATTGTAAGCAGAAACCAAATACTAAAATAAAACAAAGCCCATAATCATTGTTTCCTCAATGTGCTTAACATGAGGATCTCTAACTTGTTACTTGAAAGCTAAAGTAGTACATTGGTGTAAAATTATAGATTTCTTGAAGTGTAAAGATCCTCCAAAGGCCATCTAGTCTGTTTCTCAGAGAAAATTCTCAAATTCTGTTCACACCATTAATACGTTATTCTATTTCCACTAAAGGCTGAAGTTCTGAGCAATATCTTTTCAGAAAAGAGTGGATATAAAGGACATAGCAATATCCAGAATGGCTCCAGACGTGATGGATGTGGATGGCAAGGTATTAGACTCAAATGAAGGTTCTAGGAGAAAATCCATGCTGGCAGGCAGAACTCAAGCTCTCACAGTTATGGAAAAACTGGTAGTAAGTAGAGAATAATGATCCATTTCCGGGAGATCCATGACTGAGGAGCACGTGGTAGCAAATCCAAGATGTCCTGTTTGGAGATATAAGTTGATAGGAAAATAGATCAAGATAGAACCCAGTCTCTAACGAGCTTCAGGGTTAGGATTGTAAACTACATAGCCTGGTCTACAAAGTCCCTAAAGCTGACCTTCACCAGCAGCTCTGTGCTCACGATATGCCTGCCATCTTCCTTCTCGCCCTCAATTCTCCCATCACTAGTTTTCTTTCCAGTGACAGAATACTAACTTCCTTGGCACCCCAGAGTCTCTGTCATTCAGATTTTGGCTTAAATGTCATCTGTTCATGGAGACTTTTTCAGAACACTCTCTACTACATGATTCCATTTTAGTTATCTACAGAAGCTTCAGAGCTTTGGCCTCATTATCTGTATCCTCTCTACTACACTCTAAACTCAGTGAGAATGGGACGTCTATGTGGTTCCTTGTAGTATCCAATATCAGGTCCTAGCATATTCTTTTTTTTTTTTAAGATTTATTTATTTATTTATACAAGAACCTGGATACAGGCCAGATGCAGGGGCGGGTGAGAGGATTCACCAGAGACAGAGTGGGGAACAGAACAGGCAGACTGACAAAATACACTGCTGAGGGGAGCAGCGGGCAAGGCAGGAGAAGTCTGCTGCGCCATGCGGGACCCTCGCCGGCTGGTCGGAATGCAACTGGCTCTGCAGAGGTGGTGGACAGCTTCACAGCGCGGCGCTCAACTGCCTGCGCCACCAGGGGAGGCCCAAATCCTAGCATAGTCTAAGTGCTTATTAAACATTTAAATGAATGAATAAACAGACTAATTAGTAGATTAAAAAATGAATTATTCTAATTGAGGGAGCCAATTAACAAGTTAAAAGTATCTATAATTAAAAATATTTGAAATCAAATCCTTAGCTAAAATCAGTAACGGGCTGATGAGAAGGCAGTCACCAGATGAAATGCTTTAATAAATGAAGAGCATGAACAGAAATGGTGGGAGTGCAGTGGGGGAGGAAGTAATACTCAATATCTTGAGCCTTACAGGAGGATGAACTGTTAGAGGGTGGTGAAAAAGCAAGGTTTGATTGAGTGCTGGGGAAATGCCAGTCCTCCCTCCAGTTTTGAGAAATAAGGAGACTAAAGAAACCTTATCAGGAGGCTTCAGTCAAAGGAGATTTGAATAAAGCTGTCTGCACAAAGGTTGTAGATACAGTGGGATTTGTTTATGATGGTATATGGACAGTGTGAAGGGGAGGCAATGGTATAAGGAGTGGGATGCGGTGAAGAAGGACCCACCAGTACGAGGAATGGTCTCCTGAAGGACAGGGAACGAAAGTTTTGGGTTTTTGGGTTTTGTTTTTGGAGATGTAGGATCACAGCAAGGATAGCCACAGAATGATTTGCCTCAAACATGCAATTTGTCCCAAGTCTTATAGGAGTATCTTGTGAAACACACAGAGACACATGCACACAGGCACAATGCACCTGATGTCAAAGTCTTTCTTCTTTCAAGTGCATGGAACCACAGACTAAGTTTCTATATATGTTAGCCCGATGTAGCTGCAGTTAATTTTTATTCATACAACAAGTGAATGATCATGTATTCCCCCCACTACTAAATAATTTATTAGTCACTGGGTAAGAATTTAACTCTCCTCCAGGTACTGACAGTGTTATAACATACCTGAGAGGCAAAAGGCAGAAGTCTTTGTGATATATTCAGTCCAAAGTCTGAGGGATATCCGGAAGAGGTTAAATCAATGTGAATTAGTTTTGTGGTACTTTCCAGGAGGGGGACAAGGAGAGAACAGGTCATTGAGGCATGAGAGTTTGAGCTGGACTGTGATGCGATTTACCTTATGAAAGAGAAATGAAGTTTGTCATTGAATATTTCCCATAAATGCTCAGTGTTTTTTAAAAAAATATTTGGTCTTCCTGGACTTGGCTTAGGAAGCAGGGTGGCTTCAATAGAGGAAATTGGAATTGTTCCCAACTTGCACAAGTGAAAAGCGTTGTGTCCATTGGATTGGTGCACTGGGTCAGGAACAGTAAGGAAGACCCCAGTTTGCAGTTTGGTGGACACAAATGGAACAATGGAGCAAGGTCAGAATACCTAAATCCAGAGTACAAATGTAACAGAGGGGTCTCCAGGAAAAGGGGAGGTTCCAGGTTCCCTGCCCCATCCATCTAAAGGAGGGTGGAACTGAGTAGGGAGGAGAAGAAGGTGGAGAGGACACTGAGTGGGAAGTGGGATGGAGAGCCACAAGGTGGCCTGAAGAAGGCACAAGAAGCAGAGAGACATGTGAAAAAACTGTGCTTGCTTCTTGGTCCTGGATTTGTTAGGCGGAAAGTTTGTCCCGAGCAAAATCCATACTGCTTTGTGGACTCCACTCCACTCCATCAAGACACTGGGAACTACAAATCCCATGATTACCAAAGGGAAGGTTGCCAGCACCTGAGGGTGGAGTTAAGCAGCTATGTTCTCTTTTGAGTATTGAAGTGGCTGATGTGACCGGGGTCTCTCTCTTGGCCACGCAGCGTGCTCGGCCTTTCACCAGCTGAGCAGATCATTGGGATTCCAGGTCAACAGAACAGGTAGGATACATTTCCGAACTTAGCTTCCTCTTTTTCTCCCTATTTATCATTTCCCTATTTCCCCTTCCCTTGTAAATAAACCTTTTATCAACCTTTTTTGTGTGTTTGCAATTTAGCAGTCGTAAGTCCCTTTAAGCACACAGGTGAGAACCCACAGTCAGGCAACCCGTTTTATATTGGGGTTGTTCTGTAATAGATTGGGTGAAAGAGACATGGGTGAGAGACCGATGGGGAGGTTAACACTGGCAGCTTTTATCTTAGTTTTGATTTTGCTCTTTTCCTTCCAGACTGGTCTGATTGGTTCTGACCCTTTTCTATGGGTCCCTGCCAGAAGGTGCTTTAGACTTGTACACGGCTTTCAGGCCTTGCTTTGGACTCAACCTGTTTGGTGGGACATTTACCCACAAGGGGATGGGTAATTTTGGATGCTTGATTTGGAAACTATCTTCTTTGACTTTTCTGAATTGCACACTAATTGTATAGAAGTTCCTTTCCATTAAAAGTCTATGTGTTTTGTCTTAATGCAGTGGATGGCAGAACCTATTTTAGGGCAGGCAGGTTTGGGGGTTCTGTGCTACCCCTCTCCCTGCCCTGTAACTCATGGTCATCTGTGGTATCTTCTTCTAAGAATGGGTGTTAGGCCTCATTGTTGGCTCAGGCGGTTGAGCACTGCACTGTGAAGCTGTCCTCAGCCTCTGCAGCGCGGTCGATTCCCGGCCGGCCGGCGAGAATCCCACATGGGGAAGCAGACCTCTCCTGCCTTGCCCGCTGCTCGCCTCAGCAGTGTATTTTGTCAGTCTGCCTGTTCTGTCTCCAGTGAATCCTCTCACCCTCTGGCGCATCTGGCCTGTACCCCGGTTCTTGTATAAAAATGAATAAATCTTAAAAAAGAAACAAAAGAATGGGTGGCGACTGGGTCAGTTAAGGATATGTGCATGATTCCGTTTGTCTGCCAGAACTGATTTGGTTGCAAAAAGAAATCGAAACCTTGTGAAGCCCTTTCAGAAAGTTGCTTTTTTGCTAAGAACAGGGAGTTCCAGACCCCAGCCCACCCAAACCACTGGTGAAGCAGCAAAGAGGCAGAAGCAAAGAGGTCTGACTTGAAATGGCAACCTGGGTTACCAGCATCCTGAAGATGTTACCCAAATTGTTCGAGTCCCGCAGCAACCTGGAATATGGCTTGGTGACCCTGCTAACCGCAGGCGGAGAGAGCATCTTCACCACTGCAGTATTCCAGTGCCCCTGCCACCCCACCTGGAACCTGCCCTACGGCATGGTCTTCCTGCTGGTCCCCGCGCTGGCGCTTTTCCTCCTGGGCTTCATGCTGAACACACGCACCTGGCGCCTGATGACCGGCTGCTGCAGGCGGAACCGCAGCCAGTCGTGCACCTGTGGGTTCCAGAGATTGAAGGTGTTCCTGAGGATCAGCGCCATTGCCTTGGTACCCCCCCTCACCTGGGTCGCTGTGGGGCTGCTTGGGGGCACTTTCTACGAATGCTTCGCCAGCGGGATCCCCTCCTTAGCTCTACGCATGTGCCTGGGCAGAAAAGACAACTGCTCCACATTGATGCCCAAGTTGCCCTGTCTGTGGGACCAAGAGCAGGACCTGCAGGACCTCCTGAAGGAGCTCAAAGCCCAATCGCAGGTCAAGAGCTGGCACTGGAGTGGGTGGGAGGAGTGGAGGGGTTGGGCTTCAGGAGATGGGGTGCGGGGCTGACCTGTGAGGCAGAATCGGTGCCTTTTCTCCAGGTATAAGACACCTGAAGACAAACCCGGACAGTTACTTGCTTCTACTGAGTCAAAAGGCAAATATTTAAATGAAATGAAGGAAAAGGAGGAAAGGTACCTGTGTAGTGAGGCTGTGCCAGAGAGCCTGTTAAGTCCTTTTCTTATCGACCTGAGTTGGATAGTGGCTAGCGGCTCAGAAAGCCAAAGACTGAACCACTGGGTGTTTTTGCAAAAGAAGTTTTATTCCAGGTAGCTGAGTGCACGGCAGAGCAAGGCGTTCTTAGAAAGACTTCTCAGCTGCCATTTGAGAGAGTATGGGAAGAAGGCCTAAGGGGCTTCTGGTGCAGGGGATGCAACAACTGGCCTAGTTAGTTGTTGACATTTTCTCTCTGGAAGGCTTCTTTGTTCTTTAACTGGCCTTAAGGACCCTAGATGGTTTCTGTGAGCTTAAAAGTGTTGTAGATTACCTCTTCCAAGGGATAGAGCTGGGGGTCGGGGGTGGGAGCAGCCCTACAATTTGCCTCCTGAATCTTCTCACAGCTACCCTTTAGAGAGAATACAAGGAGTCATCCAGAAGGCAGAATTATTACGGTGAAGTGGGTCTACAAATAAAGCCACCATCCCTCACTGCTTGTGGGATTTTGAAGCGCAATGCTTGTTTCACTGGATTTGCCAAAATTGCATATTTTGAGTTCCAGGTCTCCCTGGGGTTTTGCAATGACTTGGAATAGAATTGATTCATCCAGCAAGCAGCTGTACAAAGAAAGGGGTTCTGGAGGCCATGCTGTTACAGGGCAGCCCCAGCAAACTTCCCTTCGGTGGTGATGGGATTTGTCTTTCCCAATGTCCTGATGGCTTTGGTCTGGAGTGGGGGTGTATTCCACAAAGCCTGTATGGAATTAGCTTAGGACATCCTTTTCCCCCTAACAATGCCTTTTTCTTAAGGGATTAAGACATAATTAGCTGGGGACTAACAAACTTTATATAGATATAGATATAACTAAACTGCTATTCTGTTTTGTTTTCCTAAGGTGGCTGGCTGGATCCTGATAGCTGTGGTTATCATCAGTCTAATGATTGGTACATCTATACACTATTGCAGATCTCCAGTTAGTTTTAGGCAGTTGAAATTTAGGAACATCTATGTGATTGAGGAGAAGAAGAGCCTTAGACAAGAATCCAGAGAGATTGCAACTGAATTGGCAAATGAGAATGTTAAATGTTTCTTTGAAGGCTCACGTCCACATCACAACAGTCCAAGTGCTGAAGACTGGCAGCAGATTTCATCACTCTATACTTTCAATTCAAAGGAGCCATACTTCAGCACGTTGCACAAATATGTTAACACGAGAAAGAAGGGCGAAGTGGCTTCTACTTTTAATGTTGTGGAGGCACAAGTTTAAGACAACACTGTATGACCTTAAGAATGAATGGGGAAAATGTTCTTCTGCATTTCATTTGAAAAACATTGTTTTGTTGATGACTGCTCTTTTTTTTTTTAAGTCTTCCAAACTGTGGAAACATAAATTTTATATTTGAAATAAAAATTTAGAATTTTACCTGTGTCTGAAGAAGGCATGATGTCGTTTTGTGGAGTTGTGGGGTCCAGGTTTCACTCTGGGAAAGGTTTCACCAGACCTCCAGGTTCAGCAGCACACAGCGAGTTCCCCAGGTGGGTTTCTCCACAAGACTGAGACATTGGTTATATTTAAAGAACAGGTTTATTAGGGAAAGGGAAAGGGACAGGTTTGCTGAGAGAGGCCTGCATGGTTGCTGTCAGGTGGCCTTGAGGAGAGCTGCCTCCGCTGAGGGAGGTTAGTGAAGAGAAGCCCCGGTGTGGTACAGGCCACTGGCAGCCAGAAATCTGCTACCCTGCAGAGGGAGAGAGTTGGTGAAAAGAGGCACCTGCACAGTCACAGGTGGGCAGTGAGAGTGCTGCCCCGAGCCTGTGCAGAGACTGCATTGATATAGTCCTTTTCTCTTTGGGAGGGCTCACTCCTCTGTGGAGGGGCCTGCTTGTTGCTGATGTTGGGTAACAGGCAAAACTAGAAAGGGATCAGAGATTCCAGTGTGGGCCCAATCTCTGTATCTTTACCCTTAGGCCTGTGCTCCACTCCCTATAGCATCTGATCCTGCTTGGGTCTCACACCTTGTAATAAGGCACTGGTGCCTAAGGGTCCTGACCTCTACAGCTGGGTTAATGGTCATGTTATTCCCCTCGACCCCCACCTCCTTGTGTGAGTCAGGTTTTAGTCTTTTGAGGCCTCCTTTCCAGTTTTTCTATTCTTGTCCTCCATCAGGCACAAGGAGCAGAGAGACATGTGAAAATCTGTGCTTGCTTCTTGGTTCTGGATTGGGTGAAAGAGACATGGGTGAGAGACCTGGGGGAGGTTAAAACTTGAAGCTTTTATCTTAAGTTTGATTTGTTTACTTTTCCTCTCAGACTTGTCTGATTGGTTCTGACCCTTTTCTATGGGTCCCTGCCAGAAGGTGCTTTAGACTTGTGCACAGCTTTCAGGCCTTGCACCAAACCTATTTGGGGGGACATTTACCCACAAGGGATGGGTAACTTTGGATGCTTGATTTGAAAACTATATTCTTTGTCTTTTCTGTGTTGCACACTAATTGCATTAAATATCCTTTCCATTAAAGGTCTATATGTTTTGTCTTGATGCAGCAGATGGCAGAACCTATTTTAAGGCAGACAGGTTTGGGGGTTCTGAGGTGCCCCTCTCCCTGCTCTGTAACTCAAGGTTGAAAGGTTTGGTGCCGTAAAGAAAAGGAAACCAGGCTAAGTTTCTCACAGGCAAGAAATTTATTGCACTCCCGGGCGAGGTTTGGAGACCCACATGGGGGCTGGAGAAGTCCCACCCACTGGGGGATAAGGGCAAGATTTTATAGGGCAGGGTCTGGCCTTGGAGGGAGGTAGAGAATGCCTAGTCGAAGTTGCTTTTCAAAGAAGTTTTTTTCTCTCAGAAACTGGTTGTTCTTTCAATGCTGCTTATCAGTGCCCTTGCAAACCGGGCAGAGCCGGCTCCTGGGATGCAAGTGGCAGGAGTTTCAAGTTCCCTCCCTCTCCCCATCTCTGTCCTGGCCTGGACCTTACAAGGTCACCTGTGTTATCTTCTTCTAAGAATGGGTGGCTACTTGGGAAGTCAAGGGTGTGTGCTTGCTTATTCTGTTTGTCTGCCAGAGTTGATATGGTTGCCTAAAGAAATCTAAACCTTGTGAAGACCTCTTCTAGAGTGTTGCTTTTAAGGGGGCCTCCCCGGTGGCTCAGCAGGAGCCTCTGCAGCCCAGGTTCAATTCCTGGCTGGCCGGGGAGAAGCCCACATGGCGAGGCAGACCTCTCCCACGCTGCTCCCCTCAGCAGTGCCTTTGGTCTGTTATAGGGCAGCCCCGATACAAAATGGGGTGCCTGACTGTGGGTCCTCACCCATGCGCTTAAAAGGACTTATCAATACTGTTCTGCAGGCACACATGAAAGGTTAATAAAAGGTTTATTTACAAGGGAAGGGGAAATGAGGAAATGTACAGCTCAGGGAGAAAAATGGAGACAAAGTTTTAAATGCGTCCTACCCGATCCCCTGATCAGGAATCCCAAATGGCACTCTGAGAGCTGGCCGCGAGCCAGGAGCCCTGAAGCCAGGAGGTGAGCGACAGAGAGCGAGAGCCTCCAAGGCCCACGTGTCTGGTTTTTATACCAACCCTGGCTGCTTAACAACACCCTCAGGTCCCAGCCACGCTCCCTTTGGTGGGGATGGGATTTGTCTTTCCCAATGTCTGGATGGCTTTGGTCTGGAGTGGGGGTGCAGTCCACAAAGCCTGTATGGGATTAGCTCAGAACATCCTTTCCCCCTAACAGGTCCATCTGCCTGTTCTGCTCCCCACTCTGTCTCTGGTGAATCCTTTCACCCTCCCGCAACTCTGGCCTGTACTCCTGCTGTTGTATAAATAAAAATAAATCTTGAAAAAAAGAAAGTTGCGGGCCACCTCTGGTGGCACAGCGGTGGAGCGCTGGGCTGCGAAGCTTCCCGCAGCCTCTGCAGGGCCGGTTTGATCCCCGGCCGCTGGCGAGGGTCCCACATGGTGCGACAGACCTCTCCTGCCTCACCCACTGCTCCCCTCAGCAGTGTATTTCATTAGTCTGCCTGTTCTGTTCCCCGCTCTGGCTCTGGTGAATTCTCTCACACTCCTGCGCTTCTGACTGTACCCAGTGTTAATATAAATAAATAAATCTTTAAAACAAAAAAAAAGAAAGTTGCTGTTTTGCTAAGAACAGGAAGTACCAGAGTTCAGTCCATCCAAACCACTGCTGAAGCAGCAAAGAGACAGAAGCACCCAGGTCTGACTTGAAATGGCAACCTGGGCTACCAGCATCCTGCAGATGTTTCCCACATTGCTGGACCTACAGCTCAAGCATGGCAGCAAGCTGGAATATGGCTTGGTGACCCTGCTGAGTGCAGGCAGAGAGAGCATCTTCTCCACTGCAATATTCTAGTGCCCCTGCCACCCCACCTAGAACCAGGCCTATGGCATGGTTTTCCTGCTGGTGCCGGCGCTGGCGCTTTTCCTCCCGGGCTTCATGCTAAACACACACACCTGGCACCTGATGACCGGCTGCTGCAGGTGGGTCTTTAGCTAGTGGTGCACCCATGGGTGCCAGAGGTAGAAGGTGTTCATGGGGATCAGTGCCACCGCCTTGGTCACCCCTCTCACCTGGACGGCTGTTGCGTTGCTCAGGGGCACTTTCTACGAATGCTTCGCCAGTGGGATCCCTTCCTTAGCTCTGCGCGTGTGCCGTGGCAGCAAAGACAACTGCTCCACGTTGATGCCCAAGTTGCCCTGTCTGTGGGACCAAGAGTGGGAACTGCAGGACCTCTTGCAGGAGCTCCAGGCCCACTCGCAGGTCAGGAGCTGGCGCTGAGCTGGTGGGAGGATTGGAGGGGACGGGCTTCAGGAGATGGGGTGCGAGGCTGACCTGTGAGGCAGAATCGGTGCCTTTTCTCCAGGCATGAGGCACCGGAAGACAAACTCTGAGAGTCACGTGCCTTCTACTGAGTCGAAAGGCGAACATTTAAATGAAATGAAGGAAAAGGAGGAAAGGTACCTGTGTAGTGAGGCTGTGCCAGAGAGCCCGTTAAGTCCTTTTCTTATCGACCTGAGCTGGATAGTGGCTAGAGGCTAGAAAGCCAAAGACTGAACCACTGGGTGTTTTTGCAAAAGAAGTTTTATTCCAGGTAGCTGAGTGCACGGCAGAGCAAGGCGTTCTTAGAAAGACTTCTCAGCTGCCATTTGAGAGAGTATGTGAAGAAGGCCTAAGGGGCTTCTGGTGCAGGGGATGCAACAACTGGCCTAGTTAGCGGTTGACATTTTCTCTCTGGAAGGCTTCTTTGTTCTTTAACTGGCCTTAAGGACCCTAGATGGTTTCTGTGAGCTTAAAAGTGTTGTAGATTACCTCTTCCAAGGGATAGAGCTGGGGGTCGGGGGTAGGAGCAGCCCTACAATTTGCCTCCTGAATCTTCTCACAGCTACCCTTTAGAGAGAATACAAGGAGTCATCCAGAAGGCAGAATTATTACGGTGAAGTGGGTCTACATATAAAGCCACCATCCCTCACTGCTTGTGGGATTTTGAAGCGCAATGCTTGTTTCACTGGATTTGCCAAAATTGCATATTTTGAGTTCCAGGTCTCCCTGGGGTTTTGCAATGACTTGGAATAGAATTGATTCATCCAGCCAGCAATTGTACAAAGAAAGGGGTTCTGGAGGTCATGCCACTCCTTTTTCTTAAGAGATTAATACATAATTAGCTGGGGACTAACTCAAACTTTATATAGATATAGATATGTAGGGTAAGGTAAAAAATCAGGCTTTTCTGCCCTCCCGCCATCAGGATAGATGAGGGAACCCTGTGATCCTGAATGCATGCCTGATGGCGGGCACCTGAAGTGGGTACACCTGGGCTAAGACTGTGCTTTTTAAGGGAGGTGTCATGGGGACTCCAGTAGAAGCCAAGAAGCCGAGAGCGAACAGAAGCCGAGAGAGAAGCAGAGAATTCCTGAGAGCCCAGATAGAGTGAAGACTTGCTGGGGGCTGGGAGGCTTGCCTGACTCCCTGCCGCCCAGTACCTCTGCCTGCCATATGCCTGGTGAACCCCAATAAAAGACCTGCAAAAAACCACTGAGGACTCTGACTCCTCCTTTACCCGGTCTGCTGGATCTTAGAAAACCTGCACTGTGGTCCTGTCCTGACCTTACAAGATATAACTAAACTGCTATTCTGTTTGTTTTCCTAAGGTGGCTGGATGGATCCTGATAACTGTGGTTATCATCAGTCTAATGATTGGTGCATCTATTACCTATTGCAGATCTCCAGTTAGTTTTATGAAGCTGAAATTTAGGAACATCTATGTGATTGAGGAGAAGAGTGTAGAGGCCGGACAGGGCACAAGGCAGGTTTTCTGATCCCATGCAGATCGGGTAAAGGAGGAGTCAGAGTCCTC